ACGTGGGGTCACCCCACCAGAGAGGAAGGAGCGCTGCTGGTGTAGCAGTAAAATGAGTATCCCGTGAAGAGATGTATCTCCTGAAGCAACTGCGCATGTACCGGTTTCAGGCCGAAGAAGCCGATCTGCGACCTCCGACTTTAGCACAGAGCTGCCACAGTTAACCCCTTACAGGCTGCAAACCGCTGAAGCTGATCCTGCGGATCACTATGGGTTGCAAGCAGGGGTGGACTGACCATTTGGAAACTCGGGCACTGCCCGAGGGCCCGGGGTCAGTAAGGGGCCCCATGAGATGCCCCTGGTACCTTTTTCATAGGCTTTTTTGAGTTTGGGCAAGGACAGAGGGACCACATGATCCCCTATTGCCCGGGGGCCCCATGAGTTGTCAGTCCGCCCCTGGTTGCAAGATCAGTTAACCCCGTATAGGTTCAAGTCGGAGATCGGCTTCTTTGGCCTGAAACCGGCACATGCGCAGTTGCTTCAGGGGCTACACATCTTCACGGGATACTCATTTTACGGCTACACCGGCACCGCTCCTTCTTCTCTGGAGGGGTGACCCCAGAGGGATCACCAACCCTAGGGACGCCACTGACATGGACCCCTAAATCCCAGGAGGCCACAAATGGCATGTGCACCCTGTTAGAAGTCATGCACCTTGCTCCCTCTGCATGTGCTGAGACACCTTTAAGTGGTAACGATGGACAATGGTGGAAAAGGGATGGACAACCACAAAACGCTTCCAAAAACTGACAATCCAGCCAATTTATCTGCAGGCTGCAAACCACTGAAGCTGATCCCGCGGGTCACTATGGCTTGCAAGATCAGTTAACCCGTATAGGTTCAAGTCGGAGATCGGCTTCTTCGGCCTGAAACCGACACATGCAAAGTTGCTTCAGGGGATACACATCTTCACGGGATACCCATTTTACCGCTCCTTCTTCTCTGGAGGGGTGACCCCACAAGGGTCACCAACCCTAGGGACGCCTCTGACATGGACCCCCTAAATAGCAGGAGGCCAAAAATGGCATGTGCACCCTGTTAGCAGTCATGCGCCTTGTTCCCTCTGCATGTGCTGAGACACCTTTAAGTGGTAACGATGGACAATGGTGGAAGAGGGATGGACAACCACAAAATGGTTCCAAAAACCGACAATCCAGCCAATTTATCTTTAAAGTGACACTTCTGATCTCTCCCTCCTGCACAGTTCTTGTTAAAGAGACCCAGTCCCAATGCCTTAAACTCACTACAGCAGTGAGAAGTGCCAAAAATGAACTCAACGAGCCCCCGCTTTATGTTCTAAAAAAAAGTTCCTCTCTGTCCAATTTTAGCCATCATTGCACTGCTGCAGAAATTGGCACTTCCAAGTGTAGGATCATTCAGACTCCCTGCTTATCTCCAGTCCTAGTTCTCTACATCATTCGAACTGCGCTGCTGCGGTCCTGGAAATGAGAGACAAGATGGTGGCACCCAACAGCAAGTGGACAACATTGGGTGGACCATGTATGGAGCCATTGGGTGGACCATATATGGAGCCATTGGGTGGACCATTTATGGAGCCATTGGGTGGACCATTTATGGAGCCATTGGGTGGACCATGTATGGAGCCATTGGGTGGACCATGTATGGAGCCATTGGGTGGACCATGTATGGAGCCATTGGGTGGACCATGTATGGAGCCATTGGGTGGACCATGTATGGAGCCATTGGGTGGACCATGTATGGAGCCATTGGGTGGACCATGAATGTAGCCACCTTTCCAAAGCAGCACACATCTACAAGTATGATGGGCTGATCGAGAGTAAACAGAGGAAGTGCTGGGGGCAGGGTCACTTTAAATTGCTGCTTTCACATTGGTTAAAGGCTTTGCTCTGTAGAGAACGCAATCCTAGATTAATGCCCAGGTAACTGACATACAGCTTGTTAACTGAGTTCCCTTGTTAACCTATAGCTTAACCAGCTGACTAGTACAGCTTGTCTCCGTACTGGAGCCCCGAAAATGCTAGAGCCGGTAAAAGGCAAGAAAAGTGCAAACAGTGAAATTTGGGGATATTTATAGATCGCTATTTATAGATCGCTGTGGGTTGATTATGTAGTTGTTGTTTTTTTTATTCTAAATATATGATTCTAATTCTTCTTATTTTTTTTTTTACTTTATCCTGCGTCAGTTTTCTAAGTGTCCCTCGTGTCTAGAGATTATGGGGTTATCAATGACTAAAGTGGATTTCCAGGAAGAACAGAGGAAATCCAACTGCAGCTATTTTCGGGACGGAAATCGGCAATGGTAAAATTTCACCCATAGCAACATCTACTGGTCAAATTTGGTATAGCAACCTGACTTGAAAATACGGTATCTCTAAAGCTGGTGCTAGATGCTGTGATAGATGATTGCTTGGTTCCCCCATCAACACCGAAACACGGAATCCCTCCCAGGGAGCTATTGTCCTGGTGAGGGGAAGGGGGGGTTGGTTGCCATTGCAGGAGAACACAGTAATTACTGCTAATGGCAATAATAGCCACTAGCAATAATTGCAAGTAAAACCCCGACAGTCTGGTTGTACAACAATTAAATTGGGTACAGCCAGACTGCCCCATAGCTGGTTCGAATCTTGGCCAGTCACAGCTGATCAGACAGGGATTCCAACCATCTATGGTTGGCTTTAGGCCATCTATGGTTGGCTTTAGGTGTTCTCGAAGATTGGATATGGCAGTGAATTTCTGTCCCTGTTGCCATTGCCAGGACAACACAGTGATTACTGCTAACGGCTATAGTAGCCACTAACAATTGCAAGTAAAACTCCGACAGTCTGGTTGTACAACAATTAAATTGGGTACAGCCAGCCTGCCCCATAGATGGTTCAAATCTTGGCCAGTCACAGCTGATCCGGCCAGGATTCGAACCATCGGCTTGTTGATGGGGGAATCCCTCTCAGGGAGCTATTGTCTTGGAAAGGGGAAGGGGGTGTTGGTTGCCATTGCCAGGAGAACACAGTGATTACTGCTAATGGCTATAGTAGCCACTAACAACTGCAAGCAAAACTCCAACAGTCAGGTTGTACAACAATTAAATTGGGTACAGCCAGCCTGCCCATAGATGGTTCAAATCTTGGCAAGTCGTAGCTGATCCGGCCGGGATTCCAACCATCTATGGTCGGCTTTAGGCAAATTCTAGTATTTTGCAGTTGGATTTCAGTCCTCTGAGCACTTGGAGACAACAGAATAACTGTTATCTCTGAGTTTTCAGGAGGCAAAGACCATGGTACTACACAGAGAAGCACAGTTCCCAAGTTCTTCTTGAAGCATCTAATGAAAACCTGAAGGACCTTCTTACTTTCTTAATATTTCAAGCTTCCCTCCTTTCTTCCATTGGTTTAGCAAGCCATTAGAACTAGGAGAGATACATTTTTACTGTGACAGGACATAGAGGAGGACAGCCAATGAGGGTCACCTTGGTTTTCCTTTTGTGTTTTGGATATGGCAGTGAATTGCTGTCCCTGAAATGTGATATCACAAGGATCTCAAACCTTCTCCAAAATGCCCCCTGTAAACCAGCTTATCATTATACCAAAACAAGAATTTCCAGCGAGCCTCAACATCCTCATTGAATACGGATATCCCCTTTAATGCCATAATTAGTTCTAGTGTGAACACTGGACCTATAGGAGCCAGTAGTGCCAACAGGGTTCAGCTGTTCAGAAATATTCATTGGGGACCATGGCTTTTGGTGGCTCAAAACAATGTCAGGTGGTACTATGTAAAGGTTCCCTAGATTCGCCATGGACCATAGTAATGATTGGCTGCTTACACTGCCCTCTCAGTTCATTTACACCATCCCTCCAAGGCAAACACTTTGACATCCAGATTATTGAAAGAACTTGGCACTGTGCACAGGTTCTGGATGCACTTTATGAACAGACCAGAACCAGAATTCGATCTGGGGTGGTAAGGATGTCCAGGGCTGGGCTCATGGGGTGAGCAGAAGAGGTGGCCACCTTGGATGCTTGAGCAGGGCCCAAAAAGGGCATGTCCTGCAACCTATGTAGTTCACAGCTCCAGGGGGAAGGGGTGGACTTTGGCCTTTCACCTTGAGTGCTAAAGGACCATGTCCCAGGACTGAGGGTGGCTTTGATACTACAATGGATTGGAAACACTACGTAATTCCATGAAGCAGGACAGGCACTGCCCCCCGACTCCCTGGTGAAGCCAACTCTGGTCTAGACTTCACATCCAATTTAGATCTATAAATCCTTTGGTATATAATGGACTGGGCTCAACTCTACTGGTACGGCATCCAAGTGGATCAAAAGGACATTGTACTGATGGGCTCCACAAGACCGGTAGTTCTCCCATCTTCCAGCCACATATATCGTCTCTGTAATATAAGCAAAACAGCTGCATGACTGCAGAACACCATGAGGAAAAGTCGATGTGGTAGCAGCATTGATCGGTGAGTTGAACTACAGTCGACAGCCGGCAACGGGACCGGACAGCCCCGTCAGCTCAAGGATGGAAAAAAAATGTATGCAGAATTCAGAAGCCAGTCAGCGCTAGAGACGCTTCCTTAAGAGTCTTGGAACGCAAGCTTTCATCGACAATAAAAGTTTCCAAAGAGTTAGTCACATTATCTGCCTGGCTCCTGAGGTCTCCTAGTGTTTAGTCTGCCAGGTCTTTGCATTACGGTTCTCTGACATTTTTTCGGAGTGTTTATTGTTCCTTTTTTTTTTTTTTTTTCCTATCGTTATCCTAGTGAGCTGCCGAAAAGGTGAGTGACCTGTCAGTTGGACCTTCCAGGAGAGAAAGCATCCTGCGGATCCGGCGGAAGGTGCTTGTCTGCCCCCCGGTGGATGGTGATTAAACAGCAGCGCTTCCATCACAGCCAAGTTGAACTCGTCTCTCTATTGTCCATGATAAGAGAGTCATGTTATTCCGCAAATGCATTTTTCTCTTCCTTCCTAGGAAAATGTTTTCTTTGTCAGATCTGGATTTCGTTTTTCTTTGTGTAGCTACAAAATCTGTGTTTCTGAGGAAAGAGGAGAGAGTTAAACAATGATGTGCAACGTAGAGGTTTCATTGGCAGATAGGCAGAATAGGTACATGGTGATGATGTCACAGTAAACCTTTACTAACAAAAAAATTAACCACTTCCCGTCCGGCCCATGTATATAAACGGCCGGACGGTGGCAGTGCAGGGTCAGGTGGCGGTTTATAAACGGCCTCCCTTCCCCCTGCTTGTGCGTGCTCTCTGGGAGCGCGCAGCACCACGATCCTGTGCCCGCTGTGTCCTCCGGACACAGAGGAACACCAATCGTCGTACGGGACCTCTGTGCGAGGTCCCGATCATGCCAGGATGGACTTGTTGCACAGGTGGCCACCTATCACGGGACCACGCTTGGAGTCACTGAGCTCCTGAGAGCGACCCATTCATTCACCAATGTTTGTAGAAGCAATCTGCATGCCTAGGGGATGATTGTATACACCTGTGTCCAGTGGTGTATTTAGGTTCTGTGCTGCCTTATGCAGGCCATGGACGGGTTGAAAAATCGGCCGATTTTTCTTTTCAAAAAAACGAAAAATCAGTCGTTCAAGCGGCCAACGTTACCAGCAATGGTAAAAAAAAAAAAAAATCAGCCGATTTTCATCCCGTCTACAGCCGGCAAAAAGTGTCCCTGCAGAGAGCTCCGCTATTTCTTTGACAGTTCCTTGACATTTATAGCGGTTGCAACAATGTATCTATTTGTGTCCATTTGTATCCATTTAGGATACAGATGTTTTTATTCGGAAAAACGGAAACAAATAGATACATTGTTGTAACCGCTATAAATGTCAAGGAACTGTCAAAGAAATAGCGGAGCTCTCTGCAGGGACACTTTTTGCCAGACTGGAATTCTTCTTCTTCTTCCTCTTCTTCTTCATCCTCTTCTTCTTCTTCCTCTTCTTCATCCTCTTCCTCTTCATCCTCTTCCTCTTCATCCTCTTCTTCATCCTCTTCTTCTCTTCCCCTTCTCCTTTCTTCCTCGTCTTCTTCATCCTCTTCCTCTTCTTCCTCTTCTTCATCCTCTTCTTCTTCATCCTCTCCCTCTTCTTCTTCATCCTCTTCTTCTTTTTTCTTCTTCTTGTCTTCCTCTTGCAGGTCATGGCTCATGCGCAGATTTTTTTATCGGTAAAAGATCGGCCGATTTGCCCATCATTGCCGTGAAAATCGGCCGATCGGCAAAACTAGCCGATCGGCAAAATCGGCCGATTTTTTTCCAACTTTACCGATAAAAAAATCTGCCAAAATACCGAAAAACAGCCGAACATTTAGCCCACTAACGAGCCGAAAATCGGCCGATTTTATTTTCGGCCGAAAAATCAGCCTATTTTCGACCCATCTATGGCCTGCATTAGGCAACACAAAGATTGTCTGCCCCCGCGGACAGGAACCAACACCACCACCCCCCTTCCCCCTCCCACAGTGAGAGCCTGACATTGACCAACAACACCCCTGTCCCCCACCTGGAAGAGCCTTCCACTAACACCCCCCCTCCCCCAGCGATAGAGAGAAAGACACTCATCTTCACAGCTCCGGACATCCCCGGGAACAAGAGTCAGACTCTACATACACCATCAAGCAGCCCTCAGCCTCTCTCGGATCCCACCTGATACCCATGGTGTGCGTGTCCCTTCTCCCATCCCTTCTTCCCCTGGAAAATGCCCCCCTAGGCAAGTGCCTTGTGGTAAATACACCCCTGCCTGTGGCCATGGAGGGGATTGGAACATCTGAATACAATGATTTGGGGGGGGGGGGTGCAATACAGTGTTTGCACAAGTGGTTCCAGCAAACAGCCTCTTTCAGAGATCTAGCCAGCATCTCCTGTAGTACCACCCCAGACCCCAGATGCTCCTCTATCTGGCTGCCTGGGTTACTCACTTGGTCCTTCTCCTATGCTGCGGATAGGTCACTGGCTACTATCAGACCTTCTAGCTGGTCCTCTCTCAGGGGGCTGGTGAAGTCCCATCAATTTATATATCCCTGAATCCAATGATTTGGGGGGAGGGAGGGGGGGTCCCAAAACTTCTGGCAATATAGTGTGTGTGCATATATTTTATTTTTTCGTTAAAAGGGGTAGTGGCCCTAAAGAGACAAGCGCAGGCCAGAGTACTTGGTGTCATTCTGGACTCCAACCTATCCTTCCAGCCCCAAGTCCAATCTTTAACAAACTCGTGCAGACTCCACCTCCGCAACATCGCCAAAATCCGCACGTTCCTAACCCCAGAAACCACTAAACAGCTCATCCACTCCCTCATCATCATATCACGACTCGACTACTGCAACTCCCTCCTCACTGGCCTGCCTCGCCGCTGGCTATCCCCGCTTCAGTCCATCCTGAATACGGCTGCCAGACTCATTCACCTTTCCAACCGCTCCATCTCCGCCACCCCCCTCTGCCAATCCCTCCACTGGCCTCCACTCAGTGTCCTCCACCCCCCTCTGCCAATCCCTCCACTGGCCTCCACTCAGTGTCCTCCACCCCCCTCTGCCAATCCCTCCACTGGCTTCCATTCAGTGTCCTCCACCCCCCTCTGCCAATCCCTCCACTGGCCTCCACTCAGTGTCCTCCACCCCCCTCTGTCAATCCCTCCACTGGCTTCCGATTGCCCAACGGATCAAATTCAAAATCCTAACACTGACGTACAAAGCCGTCCACCATACTGCCCCGAACTACATCACCGACCTAATATCCAAGTACCACCCAACACGCACACTCCGCTCCTCACAACTCCCTGCCCCAACCCATCAGATTATCACCTACTCTCCTCTCCTTTAGGCGCACCCTGAAAACCCATCTCTTCAGGGAAGCCTACCCCACCCTCTGCTAATTTGCCGATCTCCTCCACTCTTCCTACCACTCCATCCCCCACAGCTATCTCCTCCTGTGCCACCATCCCCTCCCTCCTAGATTGTAAGCTGGAAAGAGCAGGACCCTCAATCCCCTCATGTTTTGCATTGTATTGGTATTGCTCTGTCACATGTTCTGTCCCCCTTTGTAATGTACAGCGCTGAGCGAACTATTGGCGCTTTATAAATACTGTATAATAATAATAATAATAAGTGCCCCATTTCCTTTAGGAGGGGTGTTCCTTGTTTTTGAGAGCGCAGTCGGGTAAATTGCACATTTTGTCCAGCAGGGGTCAGACTTTGCAAACTTATTCCGCCATAGAAAGGAGCGCAGACTATTCCGCCATAGTAAGGAGCGCAGACTATTCCTTCACATAACTACGGCTACTAATAATCATTTTCTATTGGATACTACAAAAATGAAGAGCGAGTTAACCTTTCACTACAAACTCCATCATTGCTAATAGTTACAAAGATCAGGAAGATTATAGTGATTCTACATTTATTAGCACGGCCTCCGGTCATACTTACTTGGGAGGGCTTTCATGTGAATGGCTGTCAGGAAGTCCGCTTTCATCCCCCCGTATTTCACGGTGCGGTCCACTCTCATCCTGCAAGAGACAGAGGAAGATCACATTTGCACCCAAAGCCAAGATTGTACAACACACCTAAAACTGAAGTTTAATCTGCATATATTTTTGCCTTCCCTGACTCCCCCATTAGCATGCAATTGCATTTTTTGTTTTGTAATAAAACCTTTCCATTTTCATTACATGCCTTATTTTAGTCCCAGGGATGTCATCACTGGGTCTCTGTGTTTCTCTATGTAATGCGGAGAGACCCTGCCTCAGTACTCCTCTCAAGAGCCCTCAGCCCTGATGACAATAGATTACATTTTTGTTCTTGGGTCTAGACGCTTTTTAAAGATGGAAGATTCCATAATATTTTGTTTGTACCATATGTATACACCAAACCAGCCATATATATATACACCAAACCAGCCATATACAGTTGTGTTCAAAATACTAGCAGTCAGACATCACTAACCGGATCAATCACTGTTTTTGGTGGAAATGATATTTCTACATGGCAAATAATTTCCTAGCCGGTGTAGTAGAGTCATAGAAATCCAACAGACCCAACAGTCATGACATGCATGCTGCTGATTCTGTGTCATTGAATCACTCATTGAAAGGGGCGTGTTCAATATAATAGCCGTGTGGAGTTCTATTAGTGAGGTCATTCATTCTTTGAAAAACAGGTGGCAATTATTGCCCTTATTTAAGGAAGGAAGGCAGCAAATGTTGGACATGCTGGTTACAGTGCATTTCTCTCTGAAATTCTGAGGAAAATGGGTCGTTCCAGACATTGTTCAGAAGAACAGCGTACCTTGATTAAAACGTTGATTGGAGAGGGGAAAACATATAAAGAAGTGCAGAAAATGATCGGCTGCTCAGCTAAAATGATGGCAAATGCTTTAAAATGGCAACCAAAACCTGAAAGACGTGGAAGAAAGCGAAAAACTACCATTGGAATGGATAGAAGAATAGCCAAAATGGCGCGGACTCAGCCAACAATCAGCTCCAGGAAGATGAAAGAAGGTGTGATGTTCCCTGTGAGGACTCAGCCAACAATCAGCTCCAGGAAGATGAAAGAAGGTGTGACGTTCCCTGTGAGGACTGTTACAATTAGAAGACGCCGATGTGAAGCCAAGCTATCTGCAAGAAGCCCCCGCAAAGTCCCACTGTTGGGAAAAAGACGTGTGCTGAAGAGGTTACAATCTGCCAAAGAGCACACTGACTGGCCTAAAGAGAAATGGCGCAACATTTTGTGGACTGATGAAAGTAAGATTGTTCTTTTTGGGTCTAGTGGGCGGAAACAGTTTGTCAGACGACCCCCAAACACTGAATTCAAGCCACAGTACACTGTGAAGACTGTGAAGCATGGTGGTGCAAGCATCATGATATGGGGATGTTTCTCATACTATGGTGTTGGGCCTATTTATCGCATACCAGGGATCATGGATCAGATTGAATCCATTAGAATACTTGAAAAGGTCATGCTGCCTTATGCTGAAGAGGAAATGCCCTTGAAATGGGGGTTCCAACAAGACAACGACCCCAAACACACCAGTAAACATGCAACATCTTGGTTCCAGACCAACAAGATGGACGTTATGGAGTGACCAGCCCAATCCCCGGATCTTCATCCAATAGAAAACTTGTGGGGTGACATCAAAAATGCCGTTTCTGAGGCAAAACCAAGAAATAGAGAAGAACTGTGGAATGTGGTCCAATCATCCTGGGCTGGAATACCTGATCACAGGGGCCAGAAGTTGGGTGACTCCATGCAACACAGATGTACAGCAGTTCTCAGAAACAGTGCGACTACAACCAAATATTCATGAAGTCATTCAAAGGAAAGCAAAATCTTCAAACATTTCTCAGTTTATATAGTGAATGTTGGAGTTTGTAAAGAAGAATACAAACACTGCGATTTTTTTGAACCGTCTAATATTCACTTTTCTTCCATTTTTTTAGAGGAACAACACAAATTTGATGTATTTTTCTTCCTGTTGTGATTTGGAATAGAATGTGTCGTGTTCCCAATGCATTTGTGTGGATGGAAATAAAAGCTATTAGAAGGATTTTCAGCTTTATTCACTTTTTTTAACACACTGCTATTATTTTCAACACAACTGTATATACACCAAACCAGCCGGGTTTCCTCCAGAGGTTGCTGGGGGTTCCTTGAGCTGTGGCTGGTTGGCCCCCCATCTTATGGAGCCTTCATAGTTCCAGGGACAACTCCACTTGGCAGAGCCGGCATGACACCAATGAGTTGCATTCTGACCACCATTGTTATAAGGGACTTCTAAGGTGCATTCTCCCTGAGGGTAAGGAATGAAGACATGCTACACCATGATGATTGGCTCGGGGTCAGGAACACACGTGGACAGTTTAGTATGTTCTGCAGAGAAGATCCGTGGGTATGAAGGACGGGTATGAGCCTCTGAACATACAAACCTTCCGTGAGGGCACTCACCAGATGAAGGCTCCAGCAATCAGGAAAAGGGCCAGCACTACGAAGGCAAAGACTCCCAGCGAGATGAGGACTGCCACCTTCTCTGCAGGGTCACTGTGGTCTGCTTCAGGAGGGAAATGTGGACACGTGTTAGTCCCGGAAATAGAAGGTGAGCTTCCACTTACATTACTACAGGAACAAGGATGAGTATGTGGGAGATGCTGGAGAGTTACACCCCTGACAGTCTTCTGTCTCTCAGGGACTCTATTGGTTAGATCTCCGCATTGGGTCTGGAGGCCTGCTGTGCCCATTATGAGGGGTTCCCACCATCCCTGTGCTGAGTTCCTGGATCTGTACACCGCTGTGCCCATTATGAGGGGTTCCCACCATCCCTGTGCTGAGTTCCTGGATCTGTACACCCGCTGTGCCCATTATTAGAGGTTCCCACCATCCATGTGCTGAGTTCCGAGGTCTGTACACCCGCTGTACCCATTCTGAGGGGTTCCCGCCATCCCTGTGCTGAGTTCCCGGGTCTGTACACCCGCTGCGCCCATTATGAGGGGTTCCCACCATCCCTGTGCTGAGTTCCTGGATCTGTACACCCGCTGTGCCCATTATTAGAGGTTCCTACCATCCCTGTGCTGAGTTCCTGGATCTGTACACCCGCTGTGCCCATTATGAGAGGTTCCCACCATCCCTGTGCTTAGTTCCCGGGTCTGTACACCCGCTGTGCCCATTATGAGGGGTTCCCACCATCCCTGTGCTAAGTTCCTGGATCTGTACACCCGCTGTGCCCATTATGAGGGGTTCCCACCATCCCTGTGCTAAGTTCCTGGATCTGTACACCCGCTGTGCCCATTATGAGAGGTTCCCACCATCCCTGTGCTGAGTTCCCGGGTCTGTACGCCTGCTGTGCCCATTATGAGGGGTTCCCACCATCCCGGTGCTGAGTTCTCGGGTCTGTACGCCCGCTGTGCCCACTATGAGGGGTTCCCACCATCCCTATGCTGAGTTCCCAGGTCTGTACACCCGCTGTGTCCATTATGAGGGGTTCCCACCATCCCTGTGCTGAGTTCCTGGGTCTGTACACCTGTTGTGCCCATTCTGAGGGGTTCCCACCATCCCTGTGCTGAGTTCCTGGATCTGTACACCTGCTGTGCCCATTATGAGGGGTTCCCACCAACCCTGTGCTGAGTTCCCGGGTCTGTACACCTGTTGTGCCCATTCTGAGGGGTTCCCACCATCCTTGTGCTGAGTTCCTGGATCTGTACACCTGCTGTGCCCATTATGAGGGGTTCCCACCAACCCTGTGCTGAGTTCCCGGGTCTGCACACCTGCTTTGCACATTATGAGGGGTCCCTAGTGCTCCTGTGCCTCCAGTGACCCCATGATTATCCTGCATCAACCCTGACCCCAGAGCACCCAGTGATTTCCGTTGTTCCGTGTGTCAATAAATTGATGACTATGAGTCTTGCATTACTCTGACCAACAACTTACCAAACGGCTCCCTCATTTCCGGTTCAGGCTCTTCTATAGTGGTTTCATTGCCGATCTCGGGGACTGAGCCTGTGAAATGTGCAAAAATATCACACAATAAGCCGGGGAAGGAGGAGTTATTTTATGTATTTATTTCAGGTACTTGTATATCGCCATCAATTTACACAGCGCTTTACATATATATTGTACATTCACATCAGTCCCCGCCCCCGAGGAGCGTACAATCGGTTTATGAATGAAAATCCCCTGAAAATAGTGACTCGGATTACAAATTTTTTTCCTAATCCGGAACGGATTAATCGGTTTTCAATGCATTTACAAATTTTTTTTAATCATGTCCCTGTACAGTATTTATGCCTTTAAAGTGCACTTTATAAAGAGTTTTGGACAGATAAAAGACTTTTTTTTACTTTTTTCTGACCTCCGGAACGGATTAATTGGTTTTCAATGCATTCCTATGGAAAACCGTGTTTCAGTTTACGATTTTTTTCGCAATACGAAAATTCCTACAGAACGAATTAAATTCATAAACCGAGGTACGCCTGTACCCGAAACAAAACTAAACCAATGTTTCCGCTCTGCTCATATCTATTTATTACTACTTAAGTCAATAAATAGCGTGGATGGAGGAATTTTTCTGTGAGCTATTGTCTGGAGACAGCCATAGTACCTGTGGCTGTCAAAATACCCAAACAGTGACTGCATCTGATTAGATGCAGTCACTGTGCGGTCAACAATTTTCCACCCGTCTTGAAAAATCAGCTTTTGTCAAGCCAGGTTCTCAACAACCTACATGGAAGAAAAATATATTTAAAATATATTTTTAAAAATATTCTTCCCAAATATATTGACATATATGTTAAATAATACAATTTTGGCCATATTCAATATATTTCAAAATATATTTCAATAAATATATATATATATTTTTATACATATACACACACTGTATTTCAACATGCAGTATGTATATGTGTACAGTATATATAGATATATAGATATATATATCTATATATACACATATATACTGCATGTTTAAATGCATTTTTTATATATATTACAAAATATATGAAAAAAAAATTTTAATATATTTTTTTTAAATATATTCTTCCGATTTTTTTTTAACGTATAAAAAAGTCATTTTAACATATATTTTTGCATATATTTGTAAATGCATTCCAAAAATGTAGATTTGTATTTTTAAAGACATACAGTATATTTAAAAATGTATTTTTAAAAATATTTTTCATATATTTTGTAATAAAAATGCATTTCAACATACAGATATATATATATATATGTGTGTGTTGAAATGCATTTTTATTACAAAATATATGAAAAATATTTTTAAAAATACATTTTGAAATATACTGTATGTCTTTAAAAATACAAATATATTGAATACGGACAAAATTTTAGTATTTCAAATATATGTCAATATATTTGGGAAGAATATTTTAAAAATATATTTCAAATATATTGTTCTTCTATACGGGAAGGCCACCCATGGACAATATTTTGGCCGGTTCAAGAAGAATGACTACTTTAAGTCCATAAACAGTGTAGATGGAGGAACTGTTCTGTGAGCTATTTTCTGGACACAGCCATAGCGCCTGTGGCTGTCAAAATACCCAAACAGTGACTGCATCTGATTAGACCCAGTCGCTGTGCGGTCAACAATTTTCCACCTGTCTTGAGAATTCAACTTTTGCCAAGCCAGGTTCCCAACAATTAAGGCCACCCATGGCCAATATTTTGACCGGTTCAAGAAGAATGACTACTTTAAGTCCATAAGCAGCATGGATGGAGGAATTGTTCTGTGAGCTATTCTATGGAGACAACCATAGCGCCTGTGGCTGCCAAAATAACCTGATTAGATGCAGTCACTTTACGGTCAACAATTTTCCACCCGTCTTGAGAAATCAACTTTTGCCAAACCAGGTTTCCAACAATTAAGGCCACCCATGGCCAATATTTTGGCCGGTTCAAGAAGAATGACTACTTTAAGTCCATAAGCAGCATGGATGGAGGAATTTTGTCTGGAGACTATTGTCTGGAGACAGCCATAGCTGTCAAAATACCTAAACAGTGACTGCATCTGATTAGATCAAGTCACTGTGCAGTCAACAATTTTCCACCCCTCTCGAAAAAACAACTTTTGTCAAGCCAGGCTCCCAACAAGGCCACCCATGGCCAATATTTTGGCCAGTTCAAGAAGAATCAGTAGAACTTTGGGTTGCCTATGGCCGTCTTAACCATAGACATGATCAGGAGAAGCAGATGAGCTTCCAGCACCAATATAAATAGCGTGAGTGGTGTGCAGCACATTGTCTAATCTATTGGACCCTCTTCAGATCTTTCTGCCCCACCTACGCCACTTTCTATTTCAGAGTGGATTAGGGTTTGCACCTAATTAACAATGGGGAAGTGGCAGTTTTCTATACACAAACCAGCCACAGATCCCCACTAGCAATCCTTTCGTTAATAAGGAGCAGAATCTGCTTTATTCCACCCCCAAATTTAGAAGAGCAGAGCAGGCTTTACGCTTGCACCACTGTTGTTAATTCCCCCCCTAGGCCTAGGGCAACTGCTCTTTTCTGTGATATGTCACATCTAACTGTCACTGAGCATGAGCAATTTTTACTGTTGCTGTAAAGTAATGCCCCAGATTAGAAAAGGAACAGAGCTGGTGATGCATTGCCGGTTGGCTATTTCTCATAAGCCCCGTTCACACCATGGTGCAGAGACATCAAATCTGCGCATTTTTCTCCATCCGTTCTTCTGCACGTATGGCGTGAACGAGGTCTTAATGCCTCATCTGTTTGTGAGCTGGCATGCGTGTTGCGTTGCAGTCCACAGACCTGAAAGCTCCTCACTGGTCCACGGTGTGGCTCGGGCCTCGGGGCTCCACTCGCTCCAGGTTCCCGCGTCCAGGAAGTCCCTAGCGCCCACTTGCAGGATATGCTCCACCCCAACGAATGCATCTGTGATGATGTCCGATAAATTGGCTGTCTCCACCTGGGCCGATGGCAACAAACAGAATAAATGGTCATAGTACTAGAAACACCAAGCTGCAACATACAGGAACACACAGAGAGGACAGGGGACTCACCACGGACCACACCATGTGGAGCACTGGTCGGTACTGGATTCTGAACTTCAGCTGGAAATGAGGCTCCTGGGGCCAAGTTGGGGGGTACGCCCAAGTGACTCGCAGCCGCCGTGGCGCATACGGGATCGGCTCTGCCGCAAGATGCTCAGGGGGATCTGGTTTGACTAGAACACAAAGAGTATAAAGTGACTAAAGTGAGAAGATTATCTACTCACCTACAATGATAGAAGACTCTCAACTGCAACAGTTTCAGACTAGAGATGACTTTCTCAATTAGGGTTCCTCCAGAGGTTGCTAGGCTTTCCATGAAAAATAAAAAATTTCTGCCTCTCAGGAATGTTAACAATCTTTTCAGCCATCAGTCAGGGGGGTTTCTTCTCAATGGCCACCAATGTAAGGAGCATTCTTTCCACTGACCACCAAGCTAATGTCCTGGGGGGTTGTGGATATAGTAATTATTGGTAGGGGTTCCCTGAGACCCGAAAGTTATTTCAAGGGTTCCTCTGTGTGAAAAAGATTGAGAAAGGTTGGTGGAGAGCAATGGTTCTGCACCACTGGGCCTTCCTTGTGGTGGACCTATCTGCTTCAACAGCTGCTGCTATCACACCAGGCTTGGCTTAGCCATCCATAAGATCCTCTGGTGGGTCCTCGCTGCATCAGGCCAGGGTGTTGCTACTATTTATGAATGGAAGAAACCATGGCTGAAATGACTCCATGGGGCAGAGTGATCGGGTCCAATGGATCTGAAATAGTTTCAGTGCTGCTGTGTTTGGGCACTGGTGGGCATCATGTGGGCTGTTTAGACTTCATCTGCAGGTGGCACTTGCCCTAAGTTTTGTTAGGAATCACCACTGACACCAATGAGCGAACGTTCTCCCTGGGGGCCATTGTCCCACTGACACCAATGATTTGAGTGAACATTCTCCCGTTGGGGCCATTGTGCCACTGACACCAATGATTTGAGTGAACATTCTCCCCTTGGGGCCATTGTGCCACTGACACCAATGATTTGAGTGAACATTCTCCCCTTGGGGCCATTGTTCCACTGACACCAATGATTTGAGTGAACATTCTCCCCTTGGGGCCATTGTGCCACTGACACCAATGATTTGAGTGAAAATTCTCCTCTGGGGGCCACTGTCCTACTGACACCAATTATTTGGAGGGGCTATTCTCCCCTGGGGGGCCACCATCCCAGTGACACCAGTGATTTGGAGGGGCTATTCTCCCCTGGGGGGCCACCATCCCACTGACACCAGTGATTTGGAGGGGCTATTTTCCCCTGGGGGCCACTATGCCACTGGCACCAATGATTTGAAGTCTATTTATACCCTTGGGGTCAGAATCCCACTGACACCAGAAATTTAAGTGGTCATTTTTCCCTGGGGACCACTGACACCAAAGATCTGAGAGACTGTTTTTTTCCTGAGGTTCACTATTCCACTGACACCAATTAGTTGGAGGCTGTTCTCCCCTGGGGGCCACTATGCCACTGACACTAAGAATTTAGGGTTTATTGTTTTTGTTTATTGGGGGAACAGTGCTACTGACACCAATGATTCGTGGTCTAGTCAACCCTGAGGGCCACATTTTCACTGACACCAATGTTTTGAACTCTATTCTCTCCCCTGGGGGCCACAATCCCACTGACACCAATGATTTGGTGTCTCTTCTCCTCAGGAGGCAGTGATCCCATGAATACCAATGATTTGGGGTCTATTCTACCCTGTCATCACTTTTGAGTAGAGTGACCCTTCAGACAAGGACTTTGTCTTCATGTTTGGGTAGAGTGACCCTTCAGACAACGACTTTGTCTTCACTTTTGGGAAGAGTGACTCTTTAGACAAGGACTTTCTCTTCACTTTTGGGTAGAGTGACTTTTTAGACAAGGACTTTGTCTTCACTTTTGGGTAGAGTGACCCTTCAGACGAGGACTTTGTCTTCACTTTTGGGTGGAGTGACCCTTCAGATGAGGACTTTGTCTTCACTTTTGGGTAGAGTGACCCTTCAGACGAGGACTTGGTCTTCACTTTTGGGTGGAGTGACCCTTCAGATGAGGACTTTGTCTTCACTTTTGGGTAGAGTGACCCTTCAGACAAGGACGTTGTCTTCACTTTTGGGAAGTGACCCTTCAGACAAGGACTTTGTCTTCACTTTTGGGTAGAGTGACCCTTCAGACAAGGACGTTGTCTTCACTTTTGGGTAGAGTGACCCTTCAGACAAGGACGTTGTCTTCACTTTTGGGTAGAGTGACCCTTCAGACAAGGACGTTGTCTTCACTTTTGGGAAGAGTGACCCTTCAGACAAGGACGTTGTCTTCACTTTTGGGAAGTGACCCTTCAGACAAGGACTTTGTCTTCACTTTTGGGAAGAGTGACCCTTCAGACAAGGACGTTTTCTTCACTTTTGGGTAGAGTGACCCTTCAAATGAGGGCTCGGTCTTTAGAGTCTTTATGGGCCAGAAGTAAAGAGTGGTATATGGATTAGGGAGTGCTTTAGTTAAGGTGCAATTTTCTTGCTGGACTATTTCTAGCACGTTTGTCAATCACACATAAGGGGAGCAGAATCATTCCCTCCTCCTCTTGAAAATGTACTGTAGGACTTCTTGCTGGCAGAAGAGAAAGGAAAATTCAAGCGGCTTGAATGAATTGAAGGAAGGTTGCCAGTAATACAATGCAGTGAGCCCTGTATCCCAGGAGAAAGGCAGAGAATGCCTGGACAATGTGGTAATTGTGCTGTCAGTGTGATGGGGCACCTCCGTGTAATACTCACACAAGAAATCCTGACTCACACAATCCCTCCGATCTCATCTCCACCACCATGTCCCCAGATAGGGCCCTCATCTCTGAATTTGTAATCACTATGTGCAGAGTGATGGGCCGGAAGGCTGAGTGAAGGAAACTGAAAAGATCTGCAGAGTGACTAAATACAGGCAAAGAGATGGGTCATTGGTTTTCCAACAGGGGTTAATGTTACCCTTAGTTCAGGTTCTCCCTGGTGCTTCCACAGGAATATATGCTCCAACTCTGACCTTCTGGAGCTTAGCTAGTGGGAGTTGTGATGAGGAACAGGCCGCAGAAATCAACACTAGGGACTGTGGACCGTGTCCTTGGCTTTCCCCCATTTGGGTTTCCCTGGACATGGGAGTACCACTGGTGCTGGTGGACAGGGTCCTGAATACAAAGTACAAGGTGTAACCCTGGTCAGGTCAGGAGTGGTGGTGGTCAGGGAAAGAAGTTGCCCTCTGGGCCATGAAGAGCAGACCCCTCTATGGAACATGCGCCAGGTGACTTGGGTTCCCACGTGACATGGGCCCCATGTTTATAAACAAAATAGTGTAGTGCCACCTAACAAAAAAAAAATCCATATATTATTATTGGATTTTTTGTGTGGTGGTGCTACGCTATTATGTTTATACAGTAAATATTGGAGGGTGGTGTGTGGAACACCTACAATTAGTATCAGCAACCAAAACTACAATAAAAATGGTAGAAACATGGATTGTGATTGTGCAGGAGTATATGGGCCCCGTCGTGTGTTCGGCTGGGCTTTCGGAGCCTTGAACCTGAACCATGGAGAAACATAGTATTCCCAACCACTCTCTATTACGGTGGACCAAAGGGATGTTGTAGTGGAAGGTTTGCAACCCACCATCCATACATGAGTTAGCAGACAGCTCAGGTCTACGTAAGCTGTGGGTGGTTGAGGACTTGGACAGTAGGCCCCTTGATAGCCCTGTAGGCCCCCTAGGAGAGTAGCAACTTACGTGGAATGGCTAGGGACCTGCCTTCAGGCTAATGATGTGAGAAATATAGAATATTCAGAAGGGTAAGAATGAATATTGTCAGGGGTTATCAACAGAAGAGGCCTCTATGATTTTTTTTTGGAGTTTTGGGTGAAATGCGCAAGAGCAGGAGATGCTGCATTGAAGGGCAGTAGACACATTGGGGGGGGTTTAATAGACCCCTAATGTGTTCAAAAGAGAGGACCTGTCACTTGTCCATGCTATTACAAAGGAGGCTTACAGAGCTACCCCGATCTCCTCCTGTGACTAGTGACCCCCCCACACATGGAAGAAAAATATTTTTGAAATGTATTTTAAAAATATCCTTCTAAAATATATTGCCATATATTTGAATTTTGGCCATATTCAATATATTAAAAAAAAAAAAAAAAATATATATATATATATATATATATATATAAAATATCTATACTACTGCATGTTGAAATGTGTTTTTTAATATATTACAAAATATATGAAAAATATTTTTAATAATATATTCGTCAGATTTTTTTTTTTTTTAACATATCAAAAAGGAATTTTACATATATTTTTACATATACAGTTGCAAGAAAAAGTATGTGAACCCCTTGGGATTATGTGGAGTTTTGCATGAATTGGGCATAAAATGTGCTCTGAATGTCATCTAAGTCACAACAATAGAAGAACACAGTCTGCTGAACATAATACTACACAAACATTAGATGTTGCCATGGTTTAATTGCACATAACATGTAAACATTCACAGTGCAGGGAGAAAAAAGTATGTGAACCTTTGGACTTAATAACTGGTTGACGCTCCTTTTGGCACCAATAACCTCAACCAAACGTTTCCTGTAGTTGCAGATCAGACCTGCGTTGTGCAGGAGTAATTTTGGACCACTCCTCTTCACAAAACTGTTTTAGTTTGGTTAGTCTGGTGTGAATTGCTCTCTTAAGGTCATGCCACAGCATTTCAATGGGGTTGAGGTCAGGACTCTGACTGGGCCACTCCAGAAGGCGTATTCTGTGCTGTTGCAGCCATTGTTTTGTTGAATTACTTGTATGCTTTGGGTCATTGTCCTGTTGCATCACCCATCCTCTGCGGAGCTTCAGTTGGCGGACAGATGGTCGTACGTTTTCCTGCAAAATGTCTTGATAAACTCTGGAATTCATTTTCCCATCAATGACAACAATCCGTCCAGGCCCTGAGGCAGCAAAGCAGCCCCAAACCATGATGCTCCCTCCGCCATGTTTCACAGTGGGGATGAGGTTTTGATGTTGGTGTGCTGTGCCTTTTTTTTTCTCCACATATAGTGTTGTGTGTTCTTCCCAAACAACTCAATCTTGGTTTCATCTGTCCACAGTATATTTTGCCAGTAGTGCTGTGGAACATCCAGGTGCTCTTTTGCAAACTTCAAACGTGCTGCAATATTCTTTTTGGCCAGCAATGGCTTCCTCCGTGGTGTCCTCCCATGTACTCCATTCTTGTTTAGTGTTTTCCTTATTGTAGATGTGTCAACAAAAATGTTAGCATGTGCCAGAGATTTCTGTAGGTCTTTAGCTGACACTCTGGGATTCTTCATTACTTCATGCAGCATTCTGCGCTGTGCTCTTGCAGTCATTTTTACAGGATGACCACGCCTAGGGAGAGTAGCAACAGTGCTAAACTTTCTCCATTTGTAGACAGTCTGTCTTACCGTGGACACATGAACATCAAGGCTCAAGGAGATACTTTTGTAACCCTTTCCAGCTTCATGCAAGTCAACAATTCTTGATCGTAGGTCTTCTGAAAGCTCTTTTATGCGAGGCATGGTTCACATCAGACAGTGCTTCTTGAAACCAGTAAACCCAAAACAGGTGTGTGTTTTTTAAGGCAGGACAGCTGTCAGCAACACATCCAATATCATCACACTGATTGGAGTCAAGGTTGGCTCACTCCTGGCTCCAATTAGCTCTGGGAGAAGTCATTAAGCTAGCGCCTCACATACTTTTTTCCTCCCTGCACTGTGAATGTTTACATGTTATGTGCAATTAAACCATGGCAACATCTAATGTTTGTGTAGTATTATGTTCAGCAGACTGTGTTCTTCTATTGTTGTGACTTAGATGATGTTCAGAGCACATTTTATGCCCAATTCATGCAAAACTCCACATAATCCCAAGGGGTTCACATACTTTTTCTTGCAACTGTATTTGTAAATGCATTCCAAAAATGTAGATTTGTATTTTTAAAGACGTACAATTTATGTGAAAATGTATTTCTAAAAATATTTTTCATATATTTTGTGTGGGTGTACACGGGACTAGAATTAGAGCTATATATATATTTCCAAAAATATTTTTAACCACCTCCCGTTCGGCCGTTGCATATAAAACGGCCGGACGGTGGCAGTGCAGGGTCGGGTGGGTGTTTATAAACGGCCTCCCTGCACCCTGCTTGTGCGCGCTCCCTGGGAGCGCGCAGCACCGCGATCCGGTGCCCGCTGTGTCCTCCGGACACACTGAAACACAGATCGTCGGACGGGACCTCTGTACGAGGTCCCGATCATGTGATCACTGATTGGCCAATCAGTGATCACATGCAAAGTAGTAAGCAAGATGTCACTTCTGACATCATAGGTTACTACGTGTGAAATCTGTGAATGATCACAGAGGTCACATGGTACAAGGCTATTCACAACAGCCTTGTACTATGTGACAAGCTGTGACCAATCACAGCTCACTCAGTACTTCTCAATGGCTGCAAGAATGCAGACAGAGAGAAAGAGAAATGATTGCTTTTACATCCTATATGGGTGTAAAAGCAATGTGTAAAAAAAAAAAAAATCTTCATCACCCCCCACAAGTAGTACAGTGTCACCATGGTGACACTGTACTGCTAGGGTGACAGTATGTAAAAAAAAAAAAATAAAAAAAAAAAAATAACAATAATATAAAAAAATAAAATAAAAATGTAAAACAAAATGTTTAAAAATTATAATTTTTGGTTATCAACTAATTTGGATTTTTTTTTTTTTTTACTAAAAAGATAACGGAATAAATTTTGGCAAAGATTTATGATGAAATATTATTTATTTGCAAAATTTTATTAAAAAAAACACTTTTTTTCAAAATTTTTGGACTTTTTCATTTACATAGCAAAAAAAATAAAAAGCCCAGCAGTGAATAAATACCACCAAAATAAAGCTTTATCTGTCTCAAAAAAATGGTAAAAAATTAATTTGGGTACAGTGTTGCATGACCGCGCAATTGTCATTCAAAGTGTGATATCGCTGAAAGCTGAAAATTGCCCTGGTCAGGGAGGGGGTAAAAGTGTCCGGACTGGAAGGGGTTAATATAATAAAAACGCATTTCAACATGATATATATATATATATATACACATACACACTCTGCATGTTGAAATGTGTTTTTTTTTTTATATATTACAAAATATATGAAAAATATTTTATATATTCTTCAGATTTTTATTAACATATAAAAAAGTCATTTTAACCTATATTTTTACATATATTTGTAAATGAGTTCCAAAAATGTAGATTTCTATTTTTACAGCCATACAGTATATGTGAAAATGTATTTATAAAAATATTTTTCATATATTTTGCGTGGGTGTACACGGGACTAGAATTAGAGCTCACCGATGGACTGGACGTAGAAATCCAGAATGCGGAAACTGGAGCCCAGCGGATTGATCTCGGTGATGTTCATCCGGTACAAGGTCCACAGCTTGGAGTGCCTGACGGAGCACACGTTGGGAATGACCGGATCCGGCACACAGGCCTCTGGGATGCCCTTGTCCACCCTGGGATACAAAACACAGACCTGTTATTAAACTTTGCTGAAACTTAGCAGTCGTGCTGCAAATGGAAATCACCAATCCTAATTTTACACCTGGTGACATTGTTCTTCCGAAAGACTGCCAAACAAAAAGAAATGAGTGGAGTTTACATCTTGGTACCCAAACATTTTTAAGTTACATAGTTATATAGTTAGTCTGGCTGAAAAAAGTCAAAGTCCATCCAGTTCAACCATAGAAAAAAATTATTATTATTATGGAATATTTTTTACATTTTTATTATTATTGTTGTTTTTATTAATAATAATATTTTATTGTTACTATTTTATTTTTAGTGAATGCAGGGTCCTGGGAGAGCAGATATAGTGAATGCAGGGTCCGGGGAGAGCGGATATTGTGAATGCAGGGTCCGGGGAGAGCGGATATAGTGAATGCAGGGTCCGGGGAGAGCAGATATAGTGAATGCAGGGTCCGGGGAGAGCGGATATAGTGGATGCGGGGTCCAGGGAGAGCGGATATAGTGAATGCGGGGTCCGGGAGAGCGGATATAGTGAATGCGGGGTCCGGGGAGAGCGGATATAGTGAATGCGGGGTCCGGGGAGACCGGATATAGTGAATGCGGGGTCCGGGGAGACCGGATATAGTGAATGCGGGGTCCGGGGAGAGCGGATATAGTGAATGCGGGGTCCGGGGAGAGCGGATATAGTAAATGCGGGGTCCGGGGAGAGCGGATATAGTGAATGCGGGGTCCGGGGAGAGCGGATATAGTGAATGCGGGGTCCGGGGAGAGCGGATATAGTGAATGCGGGGTCCTGGGAGAGCGGATATAGTGAATGGGGGGTCCGGGGAGAGTGGATATAGTGAATGCGGGGTCCGGGGAGAGTGGATATAGTGAATGCGGGGTCCGGGGAGACCGGATATAGTGAATGCGGGGTCCAGGGAGAGTGGATATAGTGAATGCGGGGTCCTGGGAGAGCGGATATAGTGAATGCAGGGTTCATGGAGACCAAATATAGTGAATGCAGGGTACGGGGAGACCGGATATAGTGAATGCAGGGTCCGGGGAGAGCGGATATAGTGAATGAAGGGTCCGGGGAGAGCGGATATAGTGAATGCGGGGTCCGGGGAGAGCGGATATAGTGAATGCGGGGTCCGGGGAGAGCGGATATAGTGAATGCAGGGTCCGGGGAGAGCGGATATAGTGAATGCAGGGTCCGGGGAGAGCGGATATAGTGAATGCAGGGTCCGAGGAGAGCGGATATAGTGAATGCAGGGTCCGGGGAGAGCGGATATAGTGAATGCAGGGTCCGGGGAGAGCAGATATAGTGAATGCAGGGTCCGGGGAGAGCGGATATAGTGAATGCAGGGTCCGGGGAGAGCGGATATAGTGAATGCAGGGTCCGGGGAGAGCGGATATAGTGAATGCGGGGTCCGGGGAGAGCGGATATAGTGAATGCAGGGTCCGGGGAGAGCAGATATAGTGAATGCAGGGTCCGGGGAGAGCGGATATAGTGAATGCAGGGTCCGGGGAGAGCGGATATAGTGAATGCAGGGTCCAGGGTTTAGTAACACTTTAAGTGTAAAATTTGCATTTGTTAAATGGCTGCACATAAATTCGATGTACAATGTGCCATTCTCCTCCTCTGGATGGCTGCCCTGGTTCCTCTGACCACAGATTCACGCTCAGAATGAAGACTTCAGCTACGGATTCACAAAACTCCTTTAATTCCTGACAACCGCTGAGTTCAATCTGAAGTGTAATAAAAGCGCCGAGTGATTCAGAGATTGCACAAGAGCCCGGAGAACGGCAGGATGGTGGTTTTCTGATATGACCCGACTAACCGCTGGAGACTGAATCCCAGACCGCAGGCGGGGTCCGAGGGAGAGTGACCACACCATCAAAGCTCCAGAGGTGGGGGAGGAGGACGGGGGTCTGGGGTGTGGTTTGATCCCTTGCATCCCGGCCCGCCGCGGGCTACAGAAATCGGATGTGTATAGGAGATAGGGAGGAAGAACACCCAAGTCTATGTACTCGAAAGCCTCTTCCTATCTGGTCTTCGCTATTGTGTAGGGCAAAGGATAACCAAAGCACCATGGGTGAGCTAAAGAGAAAACACAGCAGTTGTTATCTTCTTTGAGATACGCTGTCTCTGATTGACACCTCGGGCAGAGCTGTACAGGTGAAAGAGGATAGAGGGGGAGGAGTCACTGACTTTCTTGTCTTTTTTATAACAAGAGGTAAAACACATCTGGATATCATTGAAATCAGCATAAAAACTCCACCTACTGGCTAGTAATAAGAATGCATAATATTACATCACCGCCCTCCGGATATCAGATATATTATACAGGAGTGACATCACCACCCTCCAGATATAAGATATATTATACAGAGTGACATCACCGCTCTCCAGATATAAGATATATTATACAGGAGTGACATCACCGCTCTCCAGATATACAGGAGTGACATCACCGCCCTCCAGATATAAGATATATTATACAGGAGTGACATCACCGCTCTCCAGATATAAGATATATTATACAGGAGTGACATCACCGCCCTCCAGATATAAGATATATTATACGGAGTGACATCACCGCCCTCCAGATATAAGATATATTATACAGGAGTGACATCACCGCTCTCCAGATATAAGATATATTATACAGAGTGACATCACCGCCCTCCAGACATAAGATATATTATACAGGAGTGACATCACCGCCCTCCAGATAGAAGATATATTATACAGGAGTGACATCACCGCCCTCCAGATAGAAGATATATTATACAGGAGTGACATCACCGCTCTAGCTATAGACAGTATAATAGTCTACACCCCCCACATACACACTCTGTATAATCCAGGCCATAGATGGGTCGAAAACCGGCTTTTTTTTATTTAAAAAAATGATAAATTGGTCACTCAATCGGCCGACGTTATCACCAACGGTAAAAAAAATCGGTTGATTTTCGTCCCGTCTACGGCTGGCAGTTATTTACTTCTGTCCCTGCAGAGAGCTCCGCTATTATATTTGACATGAAAGTCTTGCGGTTGCAACAATGTATCCATTTGTATCTATTTCGGATACAGATGTTTTTATTCGGATACAAATAGATACATTGTTGCAACCGCAAGACTTTCATGTCAAATATAATAGCGGACTGGAATTCTTCTTCTTCTTGCAGGTCACGGCTCGGTAAAATGATCGGCCAATTTTTTTCCAACTTTACCGATAAAAAAATGTGCCAAAACCCCCGAAAAACGGCCGACCAATTAACCCACTAATGGTGCAAAAATCGGCCGATTTTCGACCCGTCTGTGGCCGGCGTAACACGTATACAGTAGAATGATATGAATCCCAGCAGCAGGACTCGGTGTCCGCAGAGCCGTCCTCTGGCCGGGGTCCAGGTAATATGAAGACAATATGTTCCGGCGTTGGGCTCTGGGACCTCCCTGTCCATTATACACACAGTCCGGGTCCAGGAGTCACGGGGTGAATGAGCATCCTGGGAATATTCCCATCCACAGATCGGGATGACAAGACTCTGACTCACGACTCCGTCTGCAGCGGACCTGCTGCTCTGCGCTCATTCATGACCTACAAGATACAACTCATTCCTTGTGTATGGACTGGAGAGGGACTAGAACCCCGTCTATCACTGAGAGGGACAGAAAATCCCACATTTCTGGGTCTCATCCGAACAGAAATACAGGGGGAATCCTCCAATGGGGACGCTAGTTCTGGTGACAACTCACTTTGGAGGGAGTTCCTCTAACTTCCTGTTGTAGCTATGGGTTAGGAAGTGAAGGGAACTCTACCCAATGGGACACAGGGGTTATAATCCATTTTATGCTATCCATGCGATCACATAATCCGAGCACCCTGTGTTCATACAATCCGAGCACCCTGTGATCATACAATCCGAGCACCCTGTGATCATACAATCCGAGGACCCTGTGATCATACAATCCGAGCTCCCTGCAATTATACAATCCGAGCACCCTGTGTTCATATAATCCGAGCACCCTGTGATCATACAATCCGAGGACCCTGTGATCATACAATCCGAGCACCCTGCGATCATACAATCCGAGCACCCTGCGATCATACAATCCGAGCACCCTGCGATCATACAATCCGAGCACCCTGTGTTCATATAATCCGAGCACCCTGTGTTCATACAATCCGAGCACCCTGCGATTATACAATCCAAGCACCCTGTGTTCATATAATCTTAGCACCCGGCGTTCATACAATCCGAGCACCCAGCGTTCATACAATCCGAGCACCCTGCGATTATACAATCCGAGCACCCTGTGATCATATAATCCAAGCACCCTGTGTTCATGCAATCTGAGCACCCTGCGATTATACAATCTGAGCACCCTGCGATCATACAATCTGAGCACCTTGCGATCATACAATCAAAGCACCCTGCGATCATACAATCCAAGCACCCTGCGATCATACAATCCAAGCACCGTGATCATACAATCCGAGGACTCTGCGATCATACAATCCAAGCACCGTGATCATACAATCCGAGCACCCTGCGATCATACAATCCAAGCACCCTGCGATCATACAATCCAAGCACCGTGATCATACAATCCGAGGACTCTGCGATCATACAATCCAAGCACCGTGATCATACAATCCGAGCACCCTGCGATCATACAATCCGAGCATCCTGCAATCATACAATCAGGGCCATGCTGAAATCAGTAGTCCCTCCTTAGCTGGGGGAGCACCACAGACCACTTGGGCAGGGCCAGGAACCAGAATATGAAGGAGGACCTGTCATCGCTCTGCATCCATTTCACAATCAGCCAATTATAAATACAAGCGGCCTCCTGGACCCCACGGCTGCACAGCTCCTGCAGTCACCCGGACCGCGCGCTCCTCTACAAATCGTCTCGTATTTGGCGTCTTGCAAATGTTTTTGCTGTCATTTGGACGGATTTTTTTTTTTTTTTTCAATTTTAAAAAAAAAACACACGGCGGCTTGCATTGTATAAACAGCATCTGGACGTGAGCCTTCGGATACTTTGTATGCTTTGTCAGCTGCAGAACATGGACACAGAAGGTTACAATTTACAACCCACTTCCAGAATGTTGATGATGATCACAGAAGCACCATTACCAACGCATTACCACCGCATTACCACCGCATTACAACCGCATTACAACCGCATTACAACAGCATCTTCACATCTTGTGCGTGACGGCAACGCATGGTCTTCCAACGTGCACAGAACAGCGCGGCGGTGTCATTCAATCCTAGCGTTCACATCTGTGTGGGCTGCATGCAAGGCCAGGATAAGGGGGGGCAAGAGGGTCAGCTGCCCTGGGCGCAATAGGGAGGGGGGGGCACCTACTTTCCGTTACAACCCACATGGAAGAAAAATAGGTTTTAAATATATTTGAAAAATATCCTTCCCAAATATATTGACATATATTTGAAATACTACAATTTTGGCCGTATTCAATACATATCAATATATATATATAATACGGGCAAACTTGTATATATATTTTGTGTGTGTGTGTATATATATATATATATATATATATATATATATATATATATATATATATATATATATATATATACACACACACACACACAAAATATATATACAATTTTGGCCGTATTCTATATATATATATAGAAATATATTGAATACGGCCAAAATTTTAGTATTTCAAATATATGTCAATATATTTGGGAAGAATATTTTTAAAATATATATTTAAAACATATATATATATATATATATATATATATATATATACATACACACATACTGGACGTTGAGATGCGTTTTTATATATTACAAAATGTATTAAAAAATATTTTAAAAAATATATATTTTTTTTAAATATATTCTTCAGATTTTGAGCACCTTACAGAGCTACCCCGATCCCCTACTGTGACTAGTGTAGCTGCATTGAAGGGCAGTAGACACATTGGGGGGTTTAGTAGACCCCAGCGAGCGGGCACTGTTCATTCCCCTGACACCAAAAATGGAGAACTAATTATCCCTCTGGCAATAACGATAGGATATTGTTCCTCCCACTGACCCCTACAACGGGGCCTTGTTTCTCCCACTGACGGGGCGCTATTCCTCCCACTGACACCAATGATGGGGCACAAGGTGGTTCTCTCCTTCTGGGAGGATGTCATGTGCCGTCCTCCCACTCTAACTGCGCGTGCAAGGCTCCGGGAGCGCGCAGCACGGCGATCGGCGGTGTGTGTTCTGTCCCTCAGACACAGCGGATCACTGATCAACGAAAAGAGCCAAAGATGTTGGCTCGGTCATGTGATCAGCTGTGTCCAATCACAGCCGATCGCATGTAAATAGGGAGATGCTGGTTATCGGCATTTCTCTCCTCTTGAGCTGTCACGCTGACAGAGGAGAGGAGAGCCGGTAATCAGCATTCCTCGGAGGGGACATGTGCACTGATGATCAGTGTAGCCCCAGCAG